TCCCGATTAGCATAATGTTTTTAATGCCCATCTGTCAGTACTTAATATCTTCTTATTGCTGAGTACCGTTCCAGTGGATGGACATGCCCCACAGTGTCTGTTCGTCCATCGGTTAGTGGTCACTGGGCTGTTTCTGCTCTGTGGCTGCTGTGGGTATTTGTGTTTCAGTTTTTGTTCTTTAAGATCAGCTCTTCTTGAAATTTCTAATTCTACTTTTTAAAACTATATTTTATTGACTATACTCTTACATTTTCCCCCAATTTTTCCTCCTTTATCCCCCCTCTGGAGGGTTGCACCCCAGGGGTTGCAACCCAACCCTCCAGCACTCCCCCTTAGTCCATATCCATGGGTTGTACATATAAGTTCTGTGAGTTCTCTGTTTCCTACAGCATTTTTTACCTCTTCCTGTCTCTTTTATGCCTATGAGTTATGCTTCTTACTCCCTGTACATTTCCCCCCTATTCCTCCCCTTCCTCTCCCCACTGAAAACCCCCATGTGATGTTCATTTGTGTGATTCTGTTCCTGTTCTAGTTGTTTGCTTAGTTTTTGTTTTCATGCTTTTATGTTTTTTTTCTTAGTTTCATTTGTTGATAGTCGTGAGTTTGTTGTCATGTTACTGTTCATAGGGTTTTTTATTTATTTTCTTTTATTTTATTATTATTTTTTTAAGAATGTTTTTTTAAATGTTTTTATTGATTATGCTGTTACAGTTGTTCTATTCCCCCTTTCATTCCCCTCCACCCTACCCCCCATCCCCACCTTTACCCCCCCTTTAGTTTATGACCATGTGTCTCAAGTCCTTTAGGTTCTATATTTCCCATGCTATTCTTGCCCCCCCCATCTATTTTCTATCTACTGCCTATGCTACTTATTTTCTGTACCTTCTCCCCTCTTCTCCTCCTCCCACTCCCCTGTTGCTAACCCTCCTTGAGATCTTCATTTCTATGTTTCCACTCCTGATCTAGCTGTTCTTTTAGTTTGCTTTTGTTTTAGGTGTGGTTGTTGATAACTGTGAGTTTGCTGTCCTTTCACTGTTCATGTTTTTTTAACTTCTTTTTCTTAGGTAAGTCCCTTTAACATTTCATATAATAAGGGCTTGGTGATGATGAACTCCTTGAATTTGATCTTATCTGAGAAGCACTTGATCTGTCCTTCCATTCTAAATGAAAGTTTTGCTGGATAGAGCAATCTTGGTTGTAGGTCCTTGGATTTCATGACTTGGAATACCTCTTTCCAGCCCCTCTTGCCTGTAAGGTCTCTTTTGAGAAATCTGCTGACAGTCTTGATGGGGACTGCTTTCTAGGTGACTGTCCTCTTAGCTCTTGCTGCTTCTAGGATTCTCTCCTTCATTTGAATCTTGGCTAATGTAATTATGATGTGCCTTGGTGTGTTCCTTCTTGGGTCCAACTTCTTTGGGACTCTCTGAGCTTCCTGGATTTCCTGGAAGTCTATTTCCTTTGCCAGATTGGGGAAGTTCTCCTTTATTATTTGTTCAAATAAGTTTTCCACTGGTGACTGTTCCTTTCCCCCTTCTGGTACCCCTATAATTGGGATGTTGGAGCGTTGAAAGATGTCCTGGAGGTTCCTAAAACTCTCCTCATTTCTTTGAATTCTTGCTTCTTGACTCTTTTCTGTTTGGCCATTATTTGCTTTCTTCTGGTCCACTCCATTGATTTGAGTCCCAGTTTCCTTTTCATTGCTATTGGTGTCCTGTGCAATTCCATTCATTTCCATTAGTTTCGCCTTCATATATTTGTCCAATTTGTGGCTATAAGCAACCAGTTCTGTGAGGATCCTGATGAGCAGTGTTTTAAACTGTGCGTCTGAGAGTTTTGCTATTTCTTCATCGCTTAGATCTATAGGCTCTGGGGCTTTGAGATCTTCTTGGGCCATTTTTGGTCTGTTCGTGCCCTTTAAGTGTGAGAAGCGGCGCCTTGGACTCCCAGGTCGCTGGGTTGTGTTGCTGTATGTGGGGGCGTGGTCAGAGCGGGGAAATGGCAGCACCCTCCACTGCAGCTTGCCGTGGGGACACGCTGGCCCGGTCCAACCGCCCACTCTATCGCCTGTGCACCCGTGCACAAATGTGTGACCACAGTCAACACGCAGCCCCGCTCCCCCGCTGTCTCCCTCGAGGTCGCTCGCCTGGTCGCTTGCTTGGTTGCTCACTAGGTCCAACCCTGCACCTGGATTCCTCGCACCTGGATTCCGCACGCCTGGATTCCATGTGCCTGAGACCGTCTGACCGAGTCCTCCTGTGCAACCCCGCTTCACCAGCTGCTGGTTTCGCCCCTTATCGGTCAGGCTGAAGAATTTGTTGTTAATGGACTTCCGAAAAGTTCAATTTTCCATGTTCTGGCTGTGTTTTCTTTTTTTTTTTAAATTTATTTTTTAAAATTGATTATGCTGTTACAGTTGTTCTATTCCCCCTTTCATTCCCCTCCACCCTGCCCCCCCATCCCCACCATTATCCCCCTTTAGTTTATGTCCATGTGTCTCAAGTCCTTTAGGTTCTATATTTCCCATGCTATTCTTGCCCCCCCCATCTATTTTCTATCTACTGTCTATGCTACTTATTTTCTGTACCTTCTCCCCTCATCTCCTCCTCCCACTCCCCTGTTGCTAACCCTCCTTGAGATCTTCATTTCTATGTTTCCACTCCTGATCTAGCTGTTCTTTTAGTTTGCTTTTGTTTTAGGTGTGGTTGTTAATAACTGTGAGCTTGTTGTCCTTTCACTGTTCATGTTTCTTTAACTTCTTTTTCTTAGATAAGTCCCTTTAACATTTCATATAATAAGGGCTTGGCGATGATGAACTCCTTGAATTTGATCTTATCTGAGAAGCACCTTATCTGTCCTTCCATTCTAAATGAAAGTTTTGCTGGATAGAGCAATCTTGGTTTTAGGTCTTTAGATTTCATGACTTGGAATATTTCTTTCCAGCCCCTTCTTGCCTGGAAGGTCTCTTTTGAGAAATCTGCTGACAGTATGATGGGGACTCCTTTGTAGGTGATTGTCCCCTTAGCTCTTGCTGCTTCTAGGATTCTCTCCTTCATTTTAATTTTGGCTAATGTAATTATGATATGCCTTGGTGTGTTTCTTCTTGAGTCCAACTTTTTTGGTACTCTCTGAGCTTCTTGGATTTTTTGGAAGTCTATTTCCTTTGCCAGATTGGGGAAATTTTCTTTTATTATTTGTTCAAATAATTTTTCCACTGGTGGTTGTGTCTTTCCCCCTTCTGGTACCCCTATAATTCGGATATTGGAGCGTTTAAAGATGTCCTGGAGGTTCCCAAGACTCTCCTCATTTCTTTGAATTCTTGCTTCTTGACTCTTTTCTGTTTGACCATTATTTGCTTTCTTCTGGTCCACTCCATTGATTTGAGTCCCAGTTTCCTTTTCATCTCTATGGGTTTCCTGTGGAATTCCATTAATTTCCCTTAGTTTAGCCTTCATATGTTTCTCTAATTTGTGGCTATAATCAACCAGATCTGTTAGGATCCTGATGACCAGTGTTTTAAACTGTGCGTCTGAGAGTGTTGCTATTTCTTCGTCGCTTAGATTTATCTCTGGGGCTTTGAGGTCTTCCTGCGACATTTTTGGTCTGTTCTGGCCCTTTAAGTGTGAGAAGCGGCGCCTTGGACTCCCAGGTCGCTGGGTTGTGAGGCTGAATGTGGGGGCGTGGTCAGAGCGGGGAAATGGCGGCGCCCTCTACTGCCGCAAGCCACGGGGACCGCCGGGCCCCGGTCCAACCGCCCACTCCCTCGCCTGTCCGCTCGCCCGCAGATAGGCAACCGCAGTCAACACGCAGCACCGCCTCCCCACTGTCTCCTCAGCAGTCGCTCACCCGGTGGGTTGCTCGGTCGCTCACTAGGTCCAATCCTGGGTTTGGAACCCGCGCGTCTGGATTCGCGCGTCTGGATTCCGCGCCTGGGTCCGTCAGACCGGAGCCCTCCTGTGCAACCCCTCACGAGACGCTGGTTTCGCCCCTTACCGGTCGGGCTGAAGCATTTGTTGTTAACGGACTTCCAAAAAGTTCAATTTTCCGTGTTCTGGTTGTGTTTTCTGATGCTAATATTTAGTTGTCCCTAAACTTGGTTGTGTGGGAAGGTACGGCACATCCACCTATACCTCCATCTTGGCGGAAGTCTACCCTGTAATGTTTTGACTTGCATCAGGGACCGGTGTAGTCAGTGCCCACTGCTACAGATTTTGGCAGACACGCAAAGTAAATCACGTGCCTGCTGTATGCAATGTGTGTTGAGCAATCTTTCTTTTTGGCTGAGGCTTTAGATGGGTGATGGGATAGTTGACTAAGAAACGTTGAACAGAATCTACTAACATGTTATAGGATGAGTTTTATAGACCATGTGTGCCCTGTCCCACGGGGTCAAGGCCAAGTAGTATTTGAAGCTATTCCTTCAGTATACTGGGCTTCATGTGTATGGGAAGTACTAGGGATGGAAACCCAATTAAACCTTGTCCTCTTGGGAAGGAGTTCCAGTTTAGTGGTTTAATGTGTTTGTTTAAAAGAGCGGAGGAGGGTGTCGGCAAGGACGTTCACATCCAGGGTTCAGAACCTGAGTCTGGGGACCCCAGAGCTTCCTGGGGCCTCTGGGATGCGGCCAGAGAAGGGAGGCTGAGGTCTCTGCCCCTCCTCCCAGCTCCTCACACCCCTACAGCACATGGGACTCCCACAGCCTCTGGAAGCATCCAGGGCTGACCTTGGAGCCCAGGCCCAGGCTGAGTAAGACAAGCTCAGCTGCTGTGCAGGAGTCCGGGGGACGCGGGTGCTCCCGGAGCCCAGCACAGATCCCATCTCAGTGGCAGCTACAGAGAGTCAGAGGGTACTGAGCTGCTGGGCCCCGCAGCCCGGAGATCTCTGTCTTCATGACAGTCAGGCCGCATCGTCCTCCTGCTGCAGAGACAAATCCATGCAACCTTCCTGCCTCCTGCTTTGGAACTGTTAACAGTGTGCTCCTTGTGAAATGTTCAACAGGTTGGCTGTGACCAAACGCAAGAAAGAGTGTTGGTTGCTGCTTTATTTAAACTTCAACTGTATTGTTGTTAAGGGAAGGGAGAGGATGTAAAAGTTCAAGGGGGCCAAGGGCACACTGTGGTTGTGGAAGGGATGCTGCAGCACAGGCGGGGTCCGTCACAGGTACCCCGAGGCAGTCACCTGTGGGGATCTGGACAGGAGCCTGGCCACTTAACTCACCACCGAAGATGGTGACGCACAACGAGGGTGCGTCTTGGAGGCACAGGGCGCAAGCTGTGGTGGTGCTGCTGGGCCAGCCACCCTCCTGTCCAGCTCTTTGAACTTCTCCTTCACACTGTCCCCACCCAGTGGCCAGAGTAGCCAACAGGCCAGCCTTCAGAGAGATGTTCTGTTTGACACCTATGTGCCATCATGCAAAATCTATATCTTTATATTTATTTATTTTTAGAGGAGAAGGGACGGAGAAAAAGAGGGAGAGAAACATCAATGTGTGGTTGCCTCTTGCCTGCCCCACACCAGGGACTTGGCTTGTAACCCAAGGCCTGTGCCCTGACTGGGAATTGAACCGAAGCAGCATCCCCTTGCTTCTCAGGCCAGCTCTCAGTCCACTGAGCCACACCAGCTAGGGCCAAAATCTTTATCTTTAAACCTCCCTCCTTGTGCGTGAGAAACATGCCAGTTGAGAAAGGCACTGTCCTCAGTGTGGCCCTCTGTGGGATGGCAGTGTCCCAGAGCACCTGCCACCAGAGGGTCGGGCACCCGGGAGAGAGAGAAGTGGATTCGTCCTCATTGTGCAAGTTTTCTGAGCAAGTTTCTTCCTGGGCATCTGGGGAGAGAATTTGCTCCGCCTCCCCTCAGGGTCATGGTGTAAATTCCGTTGGACACTGCAGTTCAGAGAGACCTTGGGGTCCGAGTCACAGCTGGGTTCGGGGTTTCTGCCTGCCTTTTGGCAAGTGACTGACCCTCTGCCTGCCTGTGTCTTCATGTGTACAGCAGCGATAATAGTACCTCCGTGTATAATGCTGCTGTCAGGCTGACTGTTGTGATTGGTGGGGAGAGACAGTGCTGGGCTGCACCCAGAACCTCAGGAAATGGCACCTCTTTGAAAGGCTGTTTCCATGGGTGCCCTTGACTCCTGAGCACGCTGGGGTTAGGGTGCCCACCTCCCTGGAAATCGAAAAATTATCTAAATGTTCACCATTGATGTTGGTGATTATGCCCAAGACTCAGAAAAAGCCAATAAAGTGCTTCAATAAAACATCGACTTCAGGTATGTTCCTCTGCTCTGTGCGAGGCAGCCAAGTGAACACTCTGGAGATTTCCATTGGCTGAGCCTGTCCCTGGCCATTTCAGGGGCCAAAGTGTTTCCTAACTTTAAAAGTATAATCACAGAACCAGCACCCGGCATAACATAAACTGTTCATGTATGTAAATCAGTACCTTCCCCCTTGTCTGTCCCTTCTGGAGGTGAAACAGAATTCTGATTTATTCTCTTTTGCTCTGTGGATAAAGTAATTTTTTTCTCGTTATAAAAGAAAGAATTCTGATTCGCTGCCTTGGAACCAGCTGAAGAATAGACCTGAATCTGCAGAGCAGAGTGGGGGTGGAGTGAAATTCTGCTGAATTCACAGCTCGAGGTAAGCTGCAGTCCACTTAAAGTGCCAGCAACAATAAATTCAGCGACTGTGGTAGAGGACATCAGGGTGGCACTGGGCAGGGTGGAGGGTCTCTTAATGAAAGCATTTAGTCCCTCACACCCGGGGCCGTCTGGTGCCAGGGGGCTGCCTCCTGCCTGTCCCTGCAGTTCCTCAGGTTCGGCTCCCACTCTAGTACCCCCAGGGAAGTGCCCCACGGTGAAGACTGGGCGTATTTCTCTGGTTGTTTGACAGCAGGCAGGGGTAAGGGTGATAAAGTCAAAGGAATTCCTATGAAGTGATAGTGTTCAAATGTTCTCAAGTGAGACCTGTGTGTAGTCAGAGGTGGGCTGACTTCCAAAACACAGCTGGTACTTCCTACCCCCGTAGGTGCGTAATGGTTATACCCACAAAGTGACCAGTGTATACAGCAGGGGTCTCACGGAGGGGGAGCGGAGGCCAGCAAACCTCGGAGGAGTAGGAGGTTTTTGTGCCCTGGTGGTCACATGTGCCACACTCTAAATGCCTCAGATGCCGCGGACTCTCTCCCCCAGCAAATGCTCGGCTGTCCAGACCTCCTGCGGAGGGGAAACCTCCCCGCTTCTCTTTCCCTGTCTCTGCGTCCTGCCCACCTCCGGGCATGTGAGGTGGTCTGTAGAACTAGTCACAACATCCAGTAGGGTGACTGGGACCATGGGCAGAGAAGGGACCATACGGCCCCGCAGGCGTTAGTCCTGACGCCCTAGTCCTGAGTGTGATTTGATGGTGAACCGTCTCATGTGTCATGGAAGGCATAGCGTTTGGGGGGCAGTTCCTGGTGGAGGCCTGTTACTCACACCCACCGCTTGTCCCCAAAGGCAACAAAGTGTATCCCGTGTGACTTAAAATCAGGTGCCATGCCTTGGTTGTATCGTGGATTTGGTCATGGTGTCTCCACATTTTCCATCAGAACCGGGAGGACTGCTGGGCCATCGGCAGGCACAGCCCGACCCCACCAGGCACACCCACTGAGGGGCACCAAACTGCGCCTGGTCTCCCTGGCGCTGAGGTCAGGCTGGGCCTGTGCACCTGCTGGATCAGCACTTCCCTAGCAGACGGGGGCTCCTGAGAGCTGCTCTTCACTTGCTTATGTTTACCTTTCATACAAGAAATTCAGTCCATAATATAGGCAACAGGAAAAACTGAAAGCACAAAAGAAAAATCAATTTATTTGCCAAAATGAGCTTGTTCTCCAATCTAAAATCCAGGGCAGGGCGGGGTGGGGTGGGGCTGCAGGGCGGGGTGGGGTGGGGCTGCAGGCCGGGCTCCAGGACTCTGGCCTTCTTCTGCTTGACCTCTGTGCCTGTTCACATTCAATCAGATTCTCCCTCCGAACTTCGGATGAAGCTGCCTATGGATGTGCTGCCCTTTCTCCTTTCCAAACGGGGTTCGGTCGTCTGTCTCCTCACCACTACACAGCAGAGGGTGACACCACCTATTAAGTCTGTGAGTCCTGTCTCAGTGTCTGCAGGGCTGACCTTAGCACCAGCGTGGCGCAGAGCCCGAGGTGGCCTCCAGGGTGCGCTCTCATAGCCCCAGCTCACCATCAGCACATCTTGTCCTGGATTCTGCCACCTTCCCTGTCCTTTAGTGGGAAGCTCTGGTTTCTCTCAGAAGCTCTTCATGCACTGCGTGGACCCTTCACAGAACTGGGTGGTTTTCAGGGCTAACTGGCAAGAGGAAAAAAGAGAGAGAAAATAAGCGGGATTCCCCAAATTGTGTAGCACAAAGCCCATTTTCTGAGGTCCTCGCCAGAGACAGGGTTTTTCCTTTGCATTTCAGGAGCTTCTTCCCTGGCCATGGCTGCACCTTCAGGGCAGCAGCAGGGCCAGGAGAGGAGGAGGGGGAAGGGTGCCCAGCAGCCCCCACTGTGGCTCTGACAGGCTCCTGTCCAGTCCTTTCTGCGTCCTTCCCACCCTGCTCATGGAGCAGTGCTGACACTCACCTCCTTCAGGACAGAGCTTAGATGCAGGCGGGGACCCACCAGGTCACTGCCATGCTGGTCACTCGTCCAGTCCTGACTTCCATCCCCAGTCTGCACACTGCTGCTTCGCTCCAGAATCCATGGACACCGGCTTCTCTGTTCTGTCCCTAGCTCTTGGTTGTCATCAGTGAGGGGGCGGCTGGCTGTGGACCTGCTCCACACTGGTGGCTGCAGAACGATGTGGTCTCTTTAAAGGAACACAGGGGAGGAAGAGAGTGAGTGGACAGCAGGTGGACTTTCTGCTGTGCAGAAATCAGTGCCCGGTGTTGTCTTTACTCACAGTCCTCTGAAGTGCTGTGTTGATTGGCAGGACGCACTTTTATTTTCTTCTCCTCTGGTTGCTCTTCCTGAAGAGGGTGCACGGAGTTGCCTGCACACGCACCGGGACCGGAAGGTGGGCGCGCCTTCCGGGTGCCCAGAAGCACCCTGTTCGTGCTGCTCCGTGTCTGAGCCCCTCTCACCAGGCAGTTCAGGTCTGGACAGAGGCGGGACCAGCCGTCGTGGCTCCTCCCAGGCCTTCCCGACACCACCTGTCTGTCTGTCCTGCACACCACTGGTCTGTGCTCCTTGCCAGCTGAATTCGGAGGGACAGCAAGCCTCCGGGGCACTTGGAGGAACCACAGAGCAGAGAAGCCCTGGGTCCCTGAGTCCCTGTGTGGAGAGGATGAGCCATGGTGGCTCCCTGGCCCACATCGTGGGACACAAGGACCAAGTAGATTTCACTGAGTTCAAATGCTGAAAAGTTCGTTAGGACAACTTACCGTTATGACTTTCATGGGCAGAGTCTCTGATGGGCAATTCGACTCTCCCTGGCTTGACTGCTGAGTAAGTGTCAGACTTTTGATGAGTCACTTTGTGTCCCTCATCTTCCTTTAGCCCCCAGCTGAATGGGGGGTGTCGATTCCACCCACCAGCATTGCTTGTCCCTCTTCTCTGCCACGTTGGAAGATAAATCAAAGCCACCTGTGGAAGGAGAGCGCCTATGAAGATGAGGTATCATCATTACCTCATTCTGAGCACCCTTCTGCCAAGTACATAGAGGAAAATTATTAATCACCCCTTACCTGGACAGTGTAAGTATCGCGTCTGCAGCTGTGATCTGCCGATGATTAAAAAGCACTCATTCCACCGACGGTGCCGCCAGATCATCGCACATCCTTGATGAGCGTCACTCACAGGCACTGCTCCTTGACATCCTTCACAACCCAGCCGAGGTACCCAGAAGGTCTTTAACGTACTCGGTAAAGTTTACTCCTAGGGTGGTTTTTTTTTTTTTTTTTTTTTTGATGCAGCTGTAAATGGGATTGTTCTCTTAACTAAGAGAACCACCCTTTCTGGTGGTTCGTTGTTGGCGCATTGAAAATGCAAGTGATTTCTGGGTGTTTATTTTGTGTCCTGCTACTTTACCGGATTCATATGTCAATTCTAGCAGCATTTGGTGGAACCTTGAGGGTCTCTGTGTACAGAACCTGCAAATAGTGACAGTGTCACTTCCTCCTTTGCGATGTGGACGCCCTTGTCCCCTTGTCCGGCTGCTGCCATTAGGACCCCAGCGCTGTGTTGGATGAGGGTGGTGAGTGCAGGCATCCTTGCCTTGCCCCCAGTCTTAAGGGAGATGCTTTCAGCTGTTTCCTGTTGAGTATGATGTTGGTCATGAGGTTGTCCTAAGTGGCCTTTGTGTTGAGGTGTGTCCCCTTCATCCCCGTTGCTGAGAGTTCTTTGTCACGAGTGCTCAATTTTATCAAATGCTCTTCTTTCATCTGTCAATATGATCAGGTGATTTTCACCCTTCATTTTGTTCATATGGTGTATCACAGTTATTGATTTGTGGATATCACACCAACCTTGCATCCTTGCACTGCAAGGAGCTTTGTTAAGTCCACTTGATTGTGGTGTAGAATCTTATACATGTTGCTGGATCTGGTTGGCTCAAATTTTGCTGAGAATTTTGGCGTCTGTGCTCAACAGGGATATTGCCTATAATTTTCTTTCTTTGTCGTGTCTTTATCTGGTTTTGGAATTAGCACAATGCTAGCCTTGTAAAAGCAGCTTGGGAGTGTTCCCTCCTCTGGAGTTTCTTGGAATAGTTTGAGAAAGACAGGTGTTAGCTCAAAGACTTCTTTGAGTGTTTGGTAAAATTCACCTGTGAAGCCATCTGGTTCAGGACTTTTGCTTCTTGTTACTACTTCAATTTTATTCTTTGGTCTATTGAGTTGGTCTATTCAGAATTTCCTCTTCTTCCCGATTCCATTGGAAAGGTGGTGTGTTTCCAGGACTTCACCCATTTTGTCCAGATTGTCCACTGTGTTGGCTTGTAGTTGTTCGTACTGTTTCCTTACACAGCTTTGTATTTCTGTGGAGTCGGTTGTTACTTCTCTTTCATGTCTGATTTTATTTGGGTTCTGTGTTTTTTTCTTTTTCTTTTAAGTGATTTAGATAGAGAGAAGGGAGAGAGAGAGAGAAACATCAATCTGTTGTTCCACGTATTGATGCATTCATTAGTTGCTTCTGGTATGTGCCCTGAACAGGGATGAGACCTGCAACCTCGGCATGTTGGCCTGACACTCTAACCAACTGAGCTCCCAGCCAAGGCAAGTCTCCTTCAGTGTTAAATGACAGCCTTGCTGGGTGGAGTAGTCTTGGTTGAAGGTCCTTGCTTTTCATCCCTTGGACTATTATGGGCCAACCCTTCTTGCCTGAAATGTCTGCTGAGAAATCAGCTGACAGACTTACAGGAGCCGCCCTGTAGGTAGGGCTGTGTCTCTTGCTGCTCTTAAGATTCTCTTTATCTTTAATGTTTGTTCCCTTAAATATGATGTGTCTTGGTGGGAGCCTCTTTGGATTCACTTGCTTGGGACTCTCTGTGCTTTTGGCCTTGTGTATCTTTTTCCTTCTCCAGATTAGGGAGTTTAAAAAATATATTTTCTGTACTTATTTTAAGAGCAAGAGGAAGGGAGAGAGGAAAAGAAGAGGAGAAACATTGATGTGCAAGAGACACATCCATCAGTTGCCTGTTGCATGTCCCCAACTGTGGACCTGGCCCCCAACCCAGGCATGTGCCTTGACTGGGAATTGAACCAGTGACCTTTGGGTCCACAGGCTGGCACTGAGTCCACTGAGCCAAACCAGCCAGGGCTTTTTTTTTTTTCCTTACCTGAAGACATGCTTACAGAGAAGAACGGGGAGAGAAGAACATGGATCGGTTGCCTCCTGTGTGAGCCCCAAATGGGGACCCAACCCATCAGCTTTGTGGAAGACCCTCCAACGAACTGGCCCACCCGGCCAGAGCCAGGGTAGGGAAGTGTTTAGTCATGATCACCTCCAATAGGTGTCTGTCCCGTCTCTTCCTCTTCCTCCCCTGGTGCCGCTGTGATGTGGGTGTTGTTACACCTCATGTCGTCCCGCAGGTCTCTTCAACTGTTTTCATTTTTAAATATTTTTCTCTGTTCTGGTTGTGTTTCCTGCCATCTTGTCTTCCAAATCGCTGGTTTGATCCTCTCCTTCATCCAACCACTTATTCCTTCTACTATATTCATTTCAGATGTTATGTTCTTCACTTCTAACTTATTTTTTTTTACTGCTTCTCTGTCCTTTTTCATGCTTACTATCTCTTCGTTTCAGTCCTCACTAATTGCGTCCGCTCTTCCCCTCAGTTTTGGGAGTATCTTTGGGCTCTGTTGCTGTGGACTTTCTCTGGTTGAGTTCCGGCATGCACTGCAGACGCGTGGTAACCGGCGGCCCGGGCAGTCTCCTTCCAGCCTGTCCCCCAGGGCTGGGTGAGCCAGGCGGCTGGGGTGCATGGGAGAGGGGGTGGGTGGGCAGCTAAGGATCCCTTGCGTGGGGTAAAAATGCTGTTGGAATCATTAAGGGTTTTTAAAATTTTGTTCTGTGTCTGCTCCCACTGTAGAACGAAGCAGCCGAGTGAACGCTTAGCCCCCTCTCAGGGCAGCCCAGCTCTGCCTGCACCAGCACGAGAGGCCACCTGGACAGGACAGAAGTCCCTCGGGGAAGGAGATGGGCCACTTCTCTCCCAGCTGTGTGAGTCTGTCCCAGCAGTGGGTCCATCTGCACTGCTGACGGCTGCTGGAGCCAGCAAGGCCTTTAGACACGACACTGACATGATCTGATTTATACTTTTTAAAGGTCACTCTGCATTATATGTCTATGTATTTTTAATAATCTAAGTGTTTTCAATTAGAGTTGACATCTAGTTTTAGATTCAGGTGCACCATGTAGTGGTTAGACATTTTAAGGTTACAGAGTGATTTCCCCAGTAAGTCTAGTAGGGGTGTCTTTCAACTGGGTGTTCATCCTATTCACAAGGGCTCTCCCCTCAAAGGCCCCACCCTTTATTTATTAGTGATTTATCTCACTGGGGTGCCCCTGGTTCACACAAGGATTTGGTTTTCAGCAGCACAGTTGCATAGAACCTCATGTGTATATTGTACTGTCTGTTCACCCCCAAGTCAAGTCTCCTTCCATCACCATTGCCTCCCCCCTGGACCCCCCTTCTCCCCTCCCCCCACCCCCTGGAGGTCACCCGGTGATTTGACATTTAAAATGATGTTTGAGATGCGTGTCGAGGGCACAGGCCATGGAGCTGCGATTTCCAACACATGTGCCGCGGCCCACTCGTGTGGCGCAGCAGTTTTTAAAACACCCCACACCTGACTGTTGATTCAGGGCACTGCCTTCTTTCCAAGGCTATTGCCATGTTTTCCTCTTTCTGTCTTTCTTTTTTCTCATTTTCCTTTTTTCTCAGGTGCTTCTTTCTAAGGAATTGTGCTTTACGTTTTGTAGGATCTGAAACGGCCAAGCAGCATTTCTTTAGGCCCCAACTTGAAGCCAGGGTGTCATACTTATCGGGCACTGTAAGGGGACAGGCCTGTGCCCAGCCTGCACAGTTCGGTGCCGCGCCCCCGGGGACCGGGCACACCCGTGGAAAATCGCTCGTGTAGACAGATGCACAGGGTGAGGTGTGGTTCAGGCACAGAGGGCGGGCACGTGGCCTGGCCGGGAGGCAGGAGAGGTGGAGACTGGAGGCCCAGCACAGGCCCCGCAGAGGCCCATGAGCGAGGGGAGGGGACAGGAAAACAGAAGGCCCAGCAGGAGGGAATGGGAGGGGACAGGGGACAGAGAAAGGGACAGGACAGGGACCTTAGGAGGGACAAGGAAGGGGGACATGAGAGGCCAGGAAGGACAGGGTGGGGGGACAGGGGAGCAGAGACAGGGGTAAAGAAGGGGGGATAGGGGACTCTCCATAAAAGGGGGCTGGTTTCCCTGTCACCTGTCCCTCCTCCCCTTTCTCTCCAGCTCTCACCCTTTCATGGAGGGTCCCCTGTCCCCTGCCTTCCCCCTCCATGAAGGGTCCCCTGTCCCCTGCCCTCCCCACCTCCATGGAGGGTCCCCTGTCCCCTGCCCTCCCCACCTCCATGGAGGGTCCCCTGTCCCCTGCCCTCCCCACCTCCATGGAGGGTCCCCTGTCCCCTGCCCTCCCCACCTCCATGGAGGGTCCCCTGTCCCCTGCCCTCCCCACCTCCATGGAGGGTCCCCTGTCCCCCCCCACCTCCATGGAGGGTCCCCTGTCCCCAACCTCCATGGAGGGTCCCCTGTCCCCAACCTCCATGGAGGGTCCCCTGTCCCCTGCCCTCCCCACCTCCATGGAGGGTCCCCTGTCCCCTACACTCCCCACCTCCATGGAGGGTCCCCTGTCCCCCTACCTCCATGGAGGGTCCCCTGTCCCCCTGCCCTCCCCACCTCCATGGAGGGTCCCCTGTCCCCTGCCCTCCCCACCTCCATGGAGGGTCCCCTGTCCCCAACCTCCATGGAGGGTCCCCTGTCCCCTGCCTCCCCACCTCCATGGAGGGTCCACTGTCCCCTGCCCTCCCCACCTCCATGGAGGGTCTCCTGTCCCCTACCTCCATGGAGGGTTCCCTGTCCCCTGCCCTCCCCACCTCCATGGAGGGTCCCCTGTCCCCTACCTTCATGGAGGGTTCCCTGTCCCCTGCCCTCCCCACCTCCATGGAGGGTCCCCTATCCCCCTCCCCCATGAATTCAGGACTGTAATTCATGCCTGATCTAAGTTCATCTAGCACATGTATTCTGTTTGCAAGGAACAAAACCATCTTGCATTTAGGTTAGGCAGCACTTCAGCACTACACTTGGGGCTATTTAAAACAGCAAAATCACTAACAAAAAGTATAAAAATGTGAGAAACATGGCACGAAAAGAACACTTGTGTATTGTATGAGCTGAAACTACAAGGCAGAGCATTGCCTTGGTCAAGATCAACCGAGAACATGAGGCTGAGTGTCTTCAATTTCTTGCCGCCCTGTGCATGTCCACAAATGACCACAGAAATACCTCTGGTATTGCTTTTGGGGTTAAAAGACATTGTAGCAAATAGACAAATCACAAATACAGAATCCATAAATAATGAGGATTGATTGTACATCTTTTGTGGTCACAGGAGGATTTCCTGTGTAAAGAAATACAAGCTCCAGAGAACTAGGGTGGGATCCTCAATACCTACTGGGGAGGGGGAGGCACAGCAGGGGAAGCTCTCCTCTCAGGTTTTGATGTATGATAAGAACTTTCTGGAAGCTCCTTCAGGAGCTGGTAAGCATACCTCAATGACAACCAGATTTTCATTACTTCATATTATAGTTAATTTTATTTAAAAAATACAGGGTCTAACACAAATAACAACCCTTTTCTATTACAAAACTGTTTATACAAAATCATAAGCATGTAATTCAATAACATAACAATATCACAGTCTAGCATACCATATGATATTTTAGGTGAAATGTTCAAATTTAAACTATAAATTATTGCACCATATTATTGCCCTACCAACCACGTTCAAGCAGGTCTGACCTCTGCCAGACCCTCTATTTTGGTGCCACCCACACCCCAGTGCCTAGTATAATGGCAGGTGCATAGCAAATGTCCTTTCAGTAACTATAAAGCTGGAAATCTTTTTTAAATAAACATTTTATTTATTTTTAGACCAAGGGGAAAGGAGGGAGAAATAGAGGAAGGGAAATATCAATGTGTGGTTGCCTGTTGTGCGTCCCCTATTGGGGACCTGGCCTGCAACCCAGGCATGTGCTTTGACTGGGAATCAAACTGGCGACCCCTAGGTTTGCAGGCGGGCACAGTGAGCCACAGCAGCCAGGGCCAAAGCTGGGAATTGTAAAATTGAGCTGCCATGAGTCACCATGCAATCTCAGACGATGACAAAGTACTTTTTACTTTACAATGTGCCTTCACATCCATGGTGCTACTTAATCCCCTCAATGACCTGGCAAAGAAAGAATTGCTTTTCCTCTTTGTAAATGAGATGTTTGCAGGCCCATGGTCTCTTCTGCACTCCGGTCTGTGTTTTGGGTAGCTGTGGAACGTCTCACCTGGATGGCCCCTGAGCACACCAACATCAAATAGGAACTCGATGAGCTCCCATTCCTCATTGATCCAAACCAGAACCTGTTTACCTTTCAGCATCGCCCATCTCGGTTCATGGCACCGCCTACCTGGTCACCCAGGCAGAAACTTGCAAGACAAGCTGTGCTCCTCCTCTGCCATCCGTGTATGAAGTTTGCCTCCCAATGCCGTACCCCTCAGCCCTCCCCTCCAAACCACCCCTGCTGTGTTAGCTGTGGCCCTGGTCACCTCTCCTGGGCTAATGTGTTAGCCTGCATGCTATTTCAACCTCCTGTCTTGCTGGTCTCACTTCTACCCCTCCTGGCTCTAGTTCTCCTTCTCTAGACCAGCTTCTCCAGTAACTTTCACCTGACTTCCCTGGTCCCAACACAGGACTAAGTCTCATAGGCCATTGCACTGAGCCTCAAGGCTTGTTACTTGAATATAAAATTGCTATTTTCTCTCTTTCCCAGTAGAGGGTGTGCTCCCTGAGAGCTGAAATTGCTCATCACTAGTGCCGGCTCTATTCCAGCACAGTGGCTATCCCATAGTAAGCCCTTAGTAAAGGTTGACTGGGTGAGTGGATGGATAAATGAGTCCTCTGCTCAGGATGGCACGGCCAGCAGGTGGAGTGACAAGGACTCAAAACCTTCTTCCCATATTTTTACGGCTGTATCATCACCTCTTTAAAACCAGTTCTCCAACCTCCCAGGTTTCCCGAATTACACCTGCCACTGCATGCCAGCAGAAATGATGATGGTACCCCTGAGAGTGCCAGCTGCTCAGATGAAGGGCTCTCTGCCCAGTGTGTGCAAGGTGCTAATTTGTCAAATGGGCTTTTTGTGTCTGACACTGAATGTTGCAGAACCAGCTTATGAAATGTACATTGTAATTCGGGAAAATATTCCTGCAGCAGGTTGGAGAGGTAATTACTGCCTCATTGTATTCCCCTCCCCCCCCAGTATTTTAACCCAATGACCTAGAAAAATAATTTAGAATTGTGATTTTCATAATTACCTTTTTGGGGAGGTCTGTTCAGAATTATAATTATCGTCTAACAGGGTTTAGAGAGAACTTTGGTTTAGGCAGTACTGTAAGGGTCTCGTAAGCATTACCGCACTGGCTAGCTCAGAACCCTGAGATACAAGGGCTGACTCACTTTATAGATGAGGAAATGACGGTTAAGAATCGTGCCCAAAGTTGTCCCCGGTAACGGGGTTGAACTAGAATAATCTCCTATTAAAGAGCATGAGCTTATCCACTTCTCTATGCCGCCTCCACAATTTTCCAAGGACTCATTTAGTCAGTTAATTTAGAAATTCTTTGTTGTTAAATAGTGCCAGCCACTATTTTAGGTGCGGGGGATACAGCAGGGAACAGCACAGAGTCTCTGCAGAGAGCACGCGCCCTGGGGACAGAGGAAGAAGTGAATAACTACACAATGTAACAGGTGTTGGTAACTGCTATGAACAAGGATAAAGAGAGTAGCATCTTAGCCCAGGTTCCCTGGAGACCCACTCCGAGCCTGGGATCGCATGCAGAAGACTGACCGGAAAATGAGCTTGCAGTGGAGAGGGCTCTGCAAGGGCTGTCCAAGTTGGGGCAGAGTGGCCGGGCCTTTGTAGCCACTGGCCATCACAATGGCGAAGGTCAGTGCCCAGTCAGGGGACTTTGGGGAGTCTTGGGTGATGCTTCTGGACAGTGGCTATTTCCTGTCAAGACTCTCTTGTCTGATGACAAAGAAGTAACTGCCTCAGACTTTGTTCTTCATCTTTATAAGCCAGGATAATATCCCTGCTGGAAGAAAGAGTTGCTATAGAGATTAGAATGATAAATGGTGATAAATGACCTTACAGAAACATAAATGAAATTAGATAGAGTGGGGTCATCTATGCTGTGGAATAGTGTAGGTCGTAGGTGAACAATAAATGATCTGCAGCCACCTGAGCTGAGGCAGGAGACAAGACATACAAGAAAAGTAACCGAATATGACAGTATGTATCATATGATACCATTCGTTTAAAAAAATACATCTGTTTGTACCTTACAGGAAGGTAAATGGAAG